TCCCAGAGTGCTAGGATTACAGGCGTGAGCCACCGTGCCAGGCTGAATCACTAAAACTTACTTTTCCTTTCTAACTGAAACTTTGTACCCTTTGACCAACATCTCCTCTCTCCTTATTCCCCACCCACCAGCCCCCCAGCCTCTCGGAACTACCATTCTAGTCTCTCCTATGAGTTTGAATTTTTTAGACCCACTGGACTATTCATTATCCTTTTCTAGCCACATGTCCTGCTTATCTCTGTGACTTTCATATATTGTTCCTTTTGCATGCATTGTCTTTTCCAACCAGGTGGCAAAATCCTTTTTGTCTTTTAAGATCTGGTTTGGATTTCATTCCTGAGAAGTTTGTGTTAAGCTGATTTAGTCACTCTGTCTTTTGTGCTTCTGTATCACTCTGCACATTGTTTTAAAATTTATCACACTGAGGGCAGAGGGGTTACTAACATTTTAAAGCATCCATATGTGCCAGACCCTGTGCTAAGCTTTTTATATGTTTTCTAATTTAATTTTCTAATTAATTCTATGTGATAGGTGTCATTATAGCCCTGGACAGGACCAGACAGAAAGCCGAAACTGAAGTCGAACCCAGGCCCATTATTTCAGCATAACCTTTCCTCCTATTTGTTCCAGGGCCTGCGGCAAAGTTGTTCAATTTGTATCTCCTGAGTGGGCAAATGAATGAACTTAGAAACCATCTAATCCCATAAGGAAAGGCTCTGCAATGCTCATCTTTCAGAGCCTGAGGTCTGGCCTTCAGTACAGTATTTTTTCACTCTTCATTCCTTACATACAGTTTAAGTTTGAAATCTTCATTTACTTATAGAAAAACTATTTTCATTTCTTTCAGCGTGTGTTCCCAGCCTGGGATGGTAATTTAACGGTCACACTGCCATCAAGCCTGCAACATAAATGTTGACATTTGATAGTAATGTTTTTCCTCTCAAAGTTGCTTCAAGTAAATACCAATAGTGTATCCAAGTAAATGAGGTAATTATTAAACAAGCAAATGGTGTGTATTTTTCAATATGTGTATTCATGTTTTAAACTTTTCAAACATTCAAAAAAAATCTATTGAATACCTCTTTTTCTACTTAGTCTGGGACACTATGAAATGTGAAAATCCCAATGTGCTTCAAAGAAAAACCTGAAACCTCAATCACTGCTTTCTTAGACAGCATGGAGCTTTAGAAGGTGGTGAGGCCAGCTGTTCTAAAATGTGGCCCGAGGGCCAGCAGCATGAGCATCACCTGGGAACTTGTGATGAAGAAGTGCAAATTATTAGGACCCACCCCAAATCAAAAACTCTGGGGTGGGGCCCAACAGTCTGTGTTTTAATAGCCCTCTCAATGATTGTGAAATGGTCAGATTTGAGAACCAGTGGAGCAAATCAACCGTGTCATTTGGATTTACGGAGCCACGAATAAAAAACTGATAACTTTTGGAAGATATAACTGGCCCCGGTACAACCAAATCTGTGAAAATATAAACTGTATAGTAAGGGATCTGCCATGCCCAGGGTGTGGGCTACCCTTAAGTGCATACACAGCGGCGTGCAGCCAAAGGAGAGAGTTTCATTCCACAGAAAAGAGGCCAAATAATTTCTTGGTTCTGCCTTCCAGGGTGTGGAGAAACATGCCACCCCAGCCATACTTAATTAGGAGTAAAGCCATTTATTGAACTGTAAAAACGATCTGCCATTCCCTCCTGGATAACTCCAACCATGTGCTGTTTAAATTGCCTCTTTTCTAAATAAAACAGTAACCTGCAATACATGCATTTTATTACTACTGAAGCACAACATTCTGTCATTAAGTACATTACTATGGAATACAACATTCAACTACCAATGACAAGCCTATGCTTTCTATGAATATATTACCACTATTCTAGTTGCTTTGTTATTACACGGATTTAAGGAAAACAGGGACTTGTTAGCATTTTGACAATTATTCAGAGGTATGTAAAAATTTCATTTTAGTAAAGAATATATAAAAAACTTCCTAGCATTTTTTTCTAGGAAAAGTGAAGACATTAAGTGTTCACTTCGTTTTTTATCATATTTTTCTAAAGAAAAACTGGTGAGAGAATCTGCCCTGTCAGATTTGCTGTGTTTTCAGGAGACGTGGCCAGGCCAGGTAGAAAAGGTTTACTATACATCAGGAGGGAGGAGGACTCAGAATCAGATGAACGGAGTACTCAGGTCATATCCTTGTTTAAGAATAAAAAGGACAGGAGGTATGAGGAAATCATCCTATTTGTCACAAACTTTGATAAAAAAAGGTCCTTGTTTTTATTGGTAGTTGATTAATTTTATTTATAATACAAATGAGAAAGCAAAACTTAGCCTTCCTAAACATAAATGTTAATGTCAATGATTACAAATGAAAATATAACAATTTTGTTTGATCTTACGTTCATTAACAATGCAACATATAGGAGAAATACAAACTAATAGTGAGACGGATTAGGGTTTTAATTCCATCTCTGACAAGTACTAGCTTTGTGATTCTCAGCAATTCTCTGATTTTCAGTTTCCTCTTCTGAAGAATATAGCCAATTTATAAGATTTTATAAGAACTTAAGAGAAATATTTATCATATGCCTTACACAGAGTAAGTGATCAATAAATCCTTATTAAGGTAAAAAAGAAAACTAATGTCTCGAGAACTGATGTGGGTATACACTCTCCCTAGCTGAATCGAGGATTATACCACTGGGTCTCAACTCAATAACCAACTTCTCCTATTTCACCTACGTGTCAAATAACTATAAACTGTGTGCTCCCCGCTCATTTTTTTCCAAAACGCTTGGAAGGAGGACAGGAAGAAACACCATTAAAAAAACAAATATTCCTTTAAAATAAGTAGTGCATATAGAGATAACACTTTGGTAAAAGCCAAAAAGAATTGCTTGAAGAACTTTATTTCATTTACAGTGAGGGAAGAGTGTTATTTCATTTATAATGAGGTAAAGAACATTTGTGCATTTGATCCTGTTTCTTCCTCACACTATCACAGCATTTCAAAACAACGTATTATTTATTGCTAGTCAGGGATTATGGTTTTGCTTTTCTCCGTTGAAGCCCCTCTGCATTCACTTTAGCCAAAGATCCAGGGCTATAAACCTTGTTCAGTAAGTTCAATGAGATCGCTTTAATACTATTCTAATTTTGGAATGCAGTTACAAAGATAGATGATAGCCACAGAGTGCTGCTTACAAACAGAAATGGCTCTTAGGCAATCTTAAAAGATATAAAAAACTTACCACCTGAAAATGCGTTTTTAAAAATTCCCATATGCTGCCACTCTGTTTTACATACCTGAGAGTTTTTTTAGGAATCTGTGATGGAGAAGAGTGATTCCTTTTCTTCTTCTCCTCTGAGTCCTGCAGTAATGCATCCTCTGTCCTACCCTTCTCCGTGACTGCTGTCTGGCTTGCCCCAGCCTTGCTCTGATCCACACTGAGCTGGCCGTGGGCGGGGTCACACCTGTACATGAAGACAATGGCTGGTTTCTCACTGGACTCTCCTTTCGCCTCTGTGAACCAGTGCTGCCGCTGAACTGGAGGAGGAGGCAGCATGTGGATGACCGTGCCATCCAGGCCCACCAGTTTCCCTTTCTCTCGCTCTTTTTCTTTGTCATCCTCTTCATCTGTTTTCCGACGGCGGAAGAAGCTTTTAAATGATATCCAGCGCTTAGGCTTTGCGTCGGTTGCCCGCCTGCTGCCTTCAGAATGCAAAACTGCTTCGGCTTCTGTGGATCTGGCAGGGCTGGTTGGCTTGGTCCAGTTGGTGAAATGCCTCTGCAAAAGGTTACTTGCATGGTAAGGAGAGGAAGTAGAGCGTGGCGGGGGAAAAGGAGGTGGTGGCTCACTTTGGAGGTTAGTCACTAGTTTGGAGGGAGGGGAGGGGACTGGCTTTGTGAATGGGTCTTTCTGTACTTTGGTGGTAGGACTTTCTGTGGTCTGAGGTGCTTCAGCTTCACCACTAGACTGAGACGTAAAGAGAGATTTGGGCCGGGCCGGTGTACTCTTCAGTGTACCTTTAGCATCGCTGGCATCTGGAGGAATGGCATAGAGCTCTTCCACATTGCAAAGTTTAGGGCCAGACTGGGGGGTTTCTGGAGGAGACTGTGGGGGCTGGATGGAAGCCACAATCTGAGAAAGCACTGTGCTCGCTTTCTCCCTGGTGCTGCCGCTGCTGCCACCACTGCCCGCCATCTGAGACTCCCGAATGCCTTCTGCTTTGGCCACAGGCTCCTGAGTGGTTCTCTGCATCTTTGCTGGGGAGCTGTGGCTGGAACTATAGCTTCTCTGTGGTGAAGACTGACCTCTGTTGAGACAGTTGTTAAACTCCTGAACCTTCTGAGCCACTGAGCCCCTTTTACGCTCTGTGCTGTTTGAAGCCCCTTTAGGTTGGGGACATTCAGTGGGTTTGTTAGTGGTGTTATCAGACACTTTGCTTTCAGTTTCTATTTCTTCATAAGTATGGCTTATTACACTTGTGGTTTTTTCCTTCACTGAGAGTTCTCCACTTGTTCCCAGAAAACTTTTGTAGATGGCTAGATTGTCATATGCATTTGGATTGATAACAATGGGAACTTTGATAGCATTTTTGGAACTTCGAGCATAAGTTGGCTCGTCATGAATGATAATTGGAAAAGGTGGCATCCCAGCATTGTTGTAACTATTAAATTTTATTTCAGACAAATTAGGTGACTTAACGGGGATGGTTTTGGAGGAAGTGTTTGTAGCTGTGGGTGAAGTGGGTGCTGATTTGTGGCAGTTTTTCCTTGGAGGGACATTTGGTCCAGTTCTAGCAGTAATTAATTCTACTTTGGGTATCTTTTGTCGTGGACTGGTGCTGGAAGTCCACACTTCCTGGTATCGGACCGCACTGGATGTTTGGAAATGGGCACTTGCTTGTCCCGGTGTCAGTGCAGGTGCTGTCACTGGAGAGTCTGGAGTAGAAGATGAGCTTTTCGTCTTGGGGCTGGTGACAGGGCCCTCGAGGTGCTCGCTGGCCATGGCCGCTGACACATCCACGACGGTGTAGGGCTTGCACAGCGGCTGCTCCAGACTGACAACTCGGTAGGGCTTCGCTTGTTCTTCCACAGGGACGAGGTTTATGGTTACTGCTTGCCCAGCAATGTCTGTAGAGGTTTTACTTTCTTGCTTCTCAGTTTGTACAGCAATCTTGCCATCTTTCTCTTCTAGTCGGAGAGCAAGGACTGCTTTGTGTGTCTCTGGAACTTTTATTGAGCTTTTGGAAGCTTGTGATGCGTCCTTCTCCTGATTACCAGAGAGGCTTTCATAATTGGGCTCAACTTCCTTCACGTCCTTAGAATCTCCTGGGGTGCTAGGAGATATCCCCCCATTACAAATCTTCTGGGATAAACTACTAGCCGTCTCGGAACGTGATTCTTCTGTTAGAGAAGAGTCTGGTGATGTGGAGTCAGATGACACCATGCTCTGAATGCTTCCTTGTCCATAAGAGACCACAGAATTTTCCTCATAACCATTCAGTATTTCGTCATAGCTATCATCATAGTCTACAGCGCAGATTCTCTGCAGAGACTTATTTCGCAGGGGGACAGTATTCCATTTTTTGTCCACAAAGAATCGAACAGGAGACAAAGTGTTTGCCCTAAAGTTGGCAAAGCGAGGTTGCCCTCTCATGCGAATCTCCATGGCCAATAGCTCTTCATCACTCTCATCCCAGCTCTCATGCTCCTCCTCCATGTTACTGAAAAGCACATCTTCCTCACTCTCCTCGCCACTAGAAAACTCTGGGTAACAGAACCGGCCCCCTTCATTACTGATCACTTCTGTGCTCCCACTCAGAATAACATGCTTGCCCTGAGTATCCTTCATGCCACCTAGCATGCAACTTGGTGGAAGCTTTCTTTCCAGCGATCGTTTATAGCAATCATTTATTCTTCCTAAGAATGTTTCTCTGGAGTTTGTTTCATTTCCTCTTATCTGAGGGGTGGTATCCAAACCTGCTATCTCCTTTAACACTTCAGTTAGTCCATTATTGTTATTTGATATCTTCTTTGCACTATCATTATTGCCATAAGGCTTAGGAACATGGCTAAATCCTTCAACATCATCTTCATTATTATTGTTGAGTGGTTTCTGACTCAAAGCAGTTCTGTTTCGGTTCCACCCTATGATGACAGGTTTGTTCTCACAGTGTTCTTGGATGCTAAGCTCACCACATACACTCTGTCCATCTGCCACCATCATAGTGGGTTTCACAGCTATAGTGGGTTTTTTAGCCACAGGAGGCCGGATGTTTCCAGTGTTCCTGATGCGGTGGTTGTTACTGTGATTGGCGTTAGTTTTCACATTGCCATGGGTGATGGGTGCCTTCTCGGGGTCTGGGGGGAGCTGATGCAAGCTTTTAGGCTGAAAGCAATTCTTGCATTCACCAGGTTTCCAAACGTGTTCAGTAAAGGTGTTACAAGCAGACATTTTTAAAAATAGAACTTCACAGACAATGCTTTTCTTTCAGTGCATGACAAAATTTTCATCCATTAGTTTTCACCTCCCCTATGTGTTATAGCAGCTCTTCCAAGTATGATCAATCTGTAGGGGGGAAAAAAAGAAAAAAAATATCTGAATGAAAAAGGCACTATGAGGCTTACCATTGTGAGTGACATGAAAAAACTAGCTCTATTCCTAAACTTTTCCTTAAAAGATTGAGAGATAAACTAATTTGGATACTTCATAATCTTCCTTTAGCCAATCAGCATCTTGGAAAGTTAGCCTTTTAACCTGAATTTTATGCACTCTTATCAAACCATACATAATCTTTGGCTTGATGTCTCTGTGGCAATGAACTGTGACCCTCCCCTCCTGGAAATGCCTTTGATACTGTTCTTTTTGTTATCCACGAATCTCTCCAATACTTGTTAGTCCTCTATAAGTTCCTCTTCTTCCACCTACCCTTGAAATTTTAGATATTTCATAGACTCCTCAAACTGAATGCATTCACAATGAATCCTCTGGCTACCCCTGTTCTAACTCCAAGAAACTGACTCCTCTAACCGGCCCTCCTCCACACCCCAGGCCACATTCTTACTTTCCCTTTATCCTATATTTTAGTTAATGTCATCGCCATCCACCTAGACAGCTAAGCGTCAACCTTCACACTATTCTTGGCACTTCTTACTCCAAATCTTACTAACTCCCTAAGTTAGTCTTGTCAATTTTATCTCATTACATTTTACTGGAACCTATTTTTGCCATTACCAGACACTGCTAGTAGCTCAGATACTCACTATCTCTTATCCAGATTATTGCAACAGCTGAAAGCTGATCTCCATGCCTATAGTTTCTTCCCATTCCAATCCATCCTCTATACCCTTGCTACTCAAATGTGGTTCTCAGATAGGGAGTACCAGACTCACCTGAGAACTTGTTAGAAATGCAGTTATTTTAGGTCCAACCCCAGTCCTACTGGATCAGATTTTGTATTTTAATGAGATTCTCAGATGATTCCACTGTTCTATACCTCTACCAGATTTAACTTTCTAAAATGCTAATATGACCATTTTATTAACTAGCTTAAAAACTATACTGTAGCTCAATCTTACCTAATGCATTGGTTCCCAAATGTCAGTGTGCAGCCTGGGGATTGCTAGCTAAGTTAGAACCACCTGGGGAACTACTTTAGACCTGCGTACTCAATCTCTGGTGGAAGAATCCAGGCATCTGAATTGTAACAAGTTCTCCGGGTATACTCAGTGAGGTGTTAGAACTTCTGAGGATGGAATCCAAGCCCCTTACCCTTTCACGATATGGTTCTTGCCTCCCTTCTAGCCTCATGTCTTGGAAATCAACTAGTCTCATCATGCTCTAAATCCCAATGGGTTACTCATTTCTCCTTGGTATTATCAAAGTCTTTCAGACACACCTCCATGAGCAAGTGCTCCCAGTTTTAATCATCTGTTTCCCCACTAGCTTTTGAGCTGTTTTAAGGCAAGGGCTATATCTTATTCATCTCTATACGTCTAGTGTAAGGAGCCGAATAAACATTAGTCGATGAAATGTAATGGTTTTAAGGTTTGTTTAAAATCGCGAATCTTATGGCTCTCTCTCATGTCTTAGGCACACAGCTGCACACCTTCCCACAGAACGCCACTACAGTCCTACGTTTCTACTTTGAATATTATAATAAAGTTGGCAGTAGGCTCGTAAGAACCATTTTAATAGCTGGAAAGTTTATCTTTATTCATACACAACGACAGAGACATGATCCTTACTTTGGTCAGAAATCCAGCCTTTTTGCCAACTTTCAATATGTTTCTATGGAATGAAAATATTTCCTTTAGCTAATATACACAAAGTGAAGTCCCTCATAAACAACACTTATAAAGCACTCTGCCTTAGTGGAAGAAGTACAGACTTTATGACCAAAGAAGTTCACAGAGAGCTCATCAACTGAATGAGGCTAAAATACATTCTTTGAGTGTTTAAAAACATTTATTTACTCTTTCAGATATTCTAAAAGTTATATCCCTTAGTTGATAAAACCATTTCCTGCTAGTCTGAGACTTGAACCGAGAGAGAGAGAGAGAGAGAGAGAGAGAGAGAGAGAGAGGGAGAGGGAGGGGAAAAGCAGCATAAAATCAAGCTGAAAAGGAGAGCAGGGGCCAGATCGTGCAGGGCCTTTTAGGCTTTCAAAGATTATGCAGTTTATCCTGAGAGCAGTGGGAAGCCACTGAAGGGCTTTGAACAGGGGAAACAACATAATCCAATTTGCATTTTAAAAAGACAGCTCTGACCAAAAAACATGAAATACTTAGCTATATAAATCTAATAAAATATGTGTAAAATCTAAAATCTGCACGTGAAAACTACAGAACACTGATAGACCGGGAGGGTGGAAGAGCGGGAGAGGCGAGCAAATGGTAGCACACAGGCCAGCTCCAGCTTGTCCCTGTTTTTGTGTCTGAAGCTAAGGATGCTTTTATGTTTTTAAATGGTTGAAAAAAAATCAAAAGCAGAATAATATTTTCTGACAAGTGAAAATTATATGAAATTCAAATTTCAGTGACCACAAATAAAGCTCTGTTGGAACACTGGTCACGCTCATTTGTTTGTATATTGCCTATCGTGGCTTTTGTGCTACAGTGGAGACATGAGTAGCTACGACAGAGGCTGTGTGGCACTCCTACTGCTTTGCAGTGCTTTCTGGCACCCTACAAATTGCAGAATTTCCACCGGTACATGTTCACCTATGTGAAAAGACATTTTCAAAGATAAAATATGTAAAATTTCATTATAGATATGCATTAATAGATGAATATTTATAATTGATTTTACTGAAACACTAACTTTGAACACTAATTAAGCAAAATGTTATTCTTCTGCCCAAGAAAGAATTTCATTTTTTTTACTAGTAGACCTGTGTTACAAAATATTGCACTTAATTATATTTTGAACTTTATAAAAAATTATAGAAATTTGTCTTTTCTGTTGTTATAAAAGTACCTAACTAATATCTTTCACTTTGTCTTTTGACTAAAAAACCTAAAATATTTACTATCTGGTCCTTTACAGAAAAGTTTGCTAACCCCTGACATAGATCAGAACAGGATAGAGACTTGAGTCCAGAAATAGATCCACGTAAGTATAGACAGCTGATTTTTGAAAAAAGTAAAAAAGATAATATTTTCAACAGATGGTGTTGGAACAATTGTATCCCTATAGGCAACAAAATGAGTCTCAATCTATACCTCATGCCATACTCAGAAGTTAACTTGAAATAGATCATAGATCTAAGTATAAAATATAAAGCTATAAAACTTCTAGAAGAAAACATAGGAGAAAATCTTTGCAACCTTAGGTTAGGCAAAGAGTTCTGAGATACAACACCAAAAGTATGATCTATAAAAGAACAAATTAATAAATTTGGTC